AGTCGGCATCAGTTCCGCGCTATCACAAGGAGACAAACACGAACATATCGCAGCCTCCCAAAATACACACACATACACTACACGCATGCATCTTGCACACAGGGGAGGCCGTCCTTAAATGACCTTAGCTGTTAATAGGACGTTAAACAAAATCAAACAAACAAACAAACAAACAAAATCCTTTAAGGATGTGTTTCAAATGTATGCGTGTATGCTGAAGGCTTCATGTTAATTGATTGGTCTCTGTTTCTGATGCCGCCTTCATGGGAAGCAGCATTTAAAGATCCCCTGCTATTTAGAGAAATTACGGGTTGGAAATAAAACAATGTACACCACTCTTTCCGTGTTGAATAAAACCTCTCGTTAAACGTAATACCAATCGTTATTTTCAGAAAGATTTTCCATCCTCTGAAGCAATTATCGACTACTTTGTCCAGACAACGTCAGATAACGACACGATGGATATCACAGTAGACAGTGAGGCAGCCGTCCTCGTCATTACAATCACAGGACCAAACAACTTATCGCAAGCGTATCTGTCATTCCCAAATGGTGAACGTACTATCTTGTTTTATAATTATTTAAAAGGATTCATTGTGTTACTTTACAATTTCTAATATTTGGTACATACAGCTAGCTATATAACGTTCAAGTTTAGGTTTTATTCGGTTTAAAGCCATATTAGCAGTTACATATATTGTACCGTACGCGTACATGTGTGTACGTGTGCAGGGGCGGTATATTGGTTATTTCCCTGACGATGGCATAGTGCTACCTGACTGAAATACCATGCCGACGGCACCAATCACAGCATTCCGCCCGATCACATAATACTTCGTACCATGTCTTAGATTTTTCCTTATGTTTTTACGCTGTAATATTTGTTATTTTTTTCTTCTTTCCCTAGGTACAAAGCAAGCATTCCCGACGAAGCTCGCTACACAATACTACTCAAGTCACACAATAACTATGTCAATACAGGTACGAGTAGGATTAAGGCTTGTACACATTCCACAACGTTTGTTTTTTAAACAATATAAACAGTTTGTTCCTGCGATTTGTTTTTATATGAAATACGTCCGACATGATCATGATGATTGAGAAACGTACTGTCTACAAGTGAGAGTATCCATTCTCGTATCAAGCTCATTTGCGAATATTATTTTCATAGAAAATAACAAAAAATGTTATGAAATCTTTACTTATTTATGGGATTTGTATTAAGGATAACGTTTGAGAGAATATATATTGTTAAGGACATGCGAAATAAACTTGAGCTCTTGAATCATCAAGGTCAGTTTTACATCAAATTCGACTTTTGTAATTCTTTAATGATATGTTAGGTTATCTTTTGGCTTCATTGGTAAGAATGTTAAATCAAACCGATTGCTGTCTTTTAAACACTATTTGAAAGTATTCTACAAATCAATTTGCTTTATATAACAATGGATACCATAAAGAAGTGTGTTAGCAACAAGTTTAATATTTAGACAAAATTCACTTGTATACACATTGCGCATGTATTTTTGTATCACATATTCATATCTGAATGTTATAACTGATTTATTTCCAGAGACCTTCTCCTGGAATTTGGAAATTGACCCGAATTATGAACAATTCCTGGAAAGTTAATGTTACCGCCTCCACATATATGGATATCGACAGCCAACTGAAGGAAACAGATGAATATGGAATATCGTATGTGACGGATCGTAATCCTATTATGGGTATGTTATATTTAATTATTAAATCGTATCTGTTTTCTGTAACTGTTCAAAAGAATGTTTTCATATGTAACAATTTTAATGCAAGTCAAATAAAAGTAGTCGTATCATTAAACAAAAGTAAAGGGTACACAGCAAGGGACCTAGCGGCGTCGAGAATAGATGCAGGGAAATATGATGTAACTATCAGTATTATTTAATAAATAAATATTTTGAATACCGCTCCCTGCAATCAAAGTTTGGGCCGTATAAAGGAATGATCCTGTCCGTCCGTCCGTCCGTCCATCCATGTTCCCTGTAAACGTTACTTTTTCTATTCTGAGTTTTAGATACAGTGAAGTACACAATATGTAGATGTCCGTGAAGAAAGGAATTTGCGATTCGACTATTTTATGTTATGGCCTTGAAACTTTAAGTTTCTGTTCCAGAAATCTTGCGACCACACCTCCCCCAAGCTTCCTTAACTTTTATTTCGTAACTTGGCAAAAATTGAAACTACATGATATGTAGGTGTGTATAAAGAAAGGAGTTTGAAATTTATGTATTTAACTAGAGTTATTATATTTAAAACTCTAAATTTCTAAACCAAAAAACCCTGTCAGCGTAACTCCTTTTCAGCTATTTGTTTAATTTTGTTTTTGTAACTTGGCATAATAAAACTATATCATAGGTGGATAGGCTTGAAGGGATGTTTTTTATCTTCTTTGGCTAGTTTTCCTTGAATTATGGCCCTTAAAACTGTAATATCTGCTTAAGAAAAAGTGTAAGCTCAAGCGGGGTGTATATATTTGTTGGCTCACTCACATTGCGCTGTAGTTTTACAACGGACATACTGAACCCTACGTGAAATAATTAAATGTGGTAGTTTAATCAATATAGATATCCTGAGCTGTTTGTTTGATATTTTGTAACTAGGCATAAACACTGTATCATATGAAGAAATATTTTTTTTATCGTCTTTGGCTAGTTATGTGGTAGATATATAAATATAATTGTTACTGTTTGATAAAAAATTATATATGATACTGGTGTTTAAATATCACAGGTAAAAACTACACCCTGGAAGTCCTTGCCTATAATCTGAACTCGACGTTGACGTCCTTCTCTCTGCATCTTTTAGACGAACGGGGAACTGATTTATTTAGCCGGCCCGTGCATATCACATTCGGTTTTTCGAAAATAAATGGGTATATACCTATTATGATTCCAACGAAGGTAAGTGATAAACAGCAGAATGGTTAGATAAATCCTACCTCAAGTTATCCATGTATTACTGATTGAACTCTTTCATCACTAGAACGCGCCTCTATTTGTGAAATACATGCGTGATTGCTTTTCATGTGTAATCTACTCTCACGCGTGTGAACTAATGCTGAATCTGTTCACATGTAATCTACATGTGTGAAGTAATGCTAAATCTGTCCTTGTATACTCCTACTGTTTCTTTTGTATGAAATAATGTTGTGGTATCTTACTGTTTCACATGTTTGAAATAATGATGTGAAATCTTACTGTTTTACATGTAAGAAAATAATGCGGAATCTGTTCATGTATAAACTTACTGTTTCGCATGTATGAAATAATGATGTGAAATCTTACTGTTTTACATGTAAGAAAATAATTCTAAATCTGTTCATGTATAAACTTACTGTTTCGCATGTATGAAATAATGATGTGTAATCTTACTGTTTTACATGTAAGAAAATAATTCTAAATCTGTTCATGTATAAACTTACTGTTTCGCATGTATGAAATAATGATGTGAAATCTTACTGTTTTACATGTAAGAAAATAATGCGGAATCTGTTCATGTATAATCTTACTGTTTCGCATGTATGAAATAATGCTAAATCTGTCCTTGTATAATACTACAGTTTCTTATGTATGAAATAAGGATTGGTAATCTTACTGTTTCGCATGGAAGAAATGATGCTGAATCTGTCCATGTGTTGGTTATAATGATACTTTTTAACAATACATCTCATACATATGAACATTAAACAATGTTTGCTTTGATGATGATGATATTGATGATGATGATGATGATGATGATGATGATGATGATGATGATGATGATTGGTAATGGATGATGATGAGGATGATACTTTGGTGATTGATAATAATGATGATTTTGATGATGATGATGATATCTAAGTGTAATCTTGCTTAATCATACTTAAGAAATATTGATGAATCCGACTATGAAATAATGCTGAATCTATCTATGAAATATTGCGGAATCTGTCCATGAAATAATGGTGAATCTGTCCATGAAATAATGCTTAATCTGTCCATGTTTAATCTACTCTCTCTGTAATGTTTTATTTGATTGATGTTATTTGGTTGACCTCTTCACTTATTACTGTGTGTCAGAGCGTAATAAACAATCTTGAAATCTTGAATCCTAAAACAAATTGTCGGGAAGCGGAAAACATAATGCTTAGGTCTCCAGGTAGCAATAAATCGGCAACCGATCAGACTTAGTTTCCTCAATGTCCCCAATGTATACATGGGATTTATAGAATATATATATATATATATTTTTTTTTTTTTTTTTTTTTTTTTTTT